GAAGGCTAAAGCCCTGGAAGGAGGGCAATTGCGTTTTAAGCATATGGCATGTAACAACAGCACTTGCTAATTTTGTGGCATTTTAAGGGTCTTTTGGTATTCATGTTATACATCCTATTTTCAAGGCTTTATGAGCTGGCTGTAAGAATTTTCCTGAGGGCGAAACTTGATGCACAAGATCTCTGGAGTAAATTTTGTCTGCAACAAGTTCAGTCATTTAGGTTAATGACCAGTGTGTTTAGAAAGTCCTTAATTCACCATTTACAAATGAGGTTGCTCTAAATTTGAGTTTTGTTTAATTAATTGCTCTTAGCATTAGATTGCTTTCATTTTTTTCATTGACGTGAGATATCTGGTTCTGAACCAAACTGTGTTAAGAACTACAAAGTAAAGGCAATTTCTTGAAGGGATTGTTTTCTTTTTATAAATATCCTGCAGTATCTTGGTAGGATCAGAATACAAATTGTCTTTAACTTTTTTTTATGATAAGTTATAAAATGGGGAAATGTGCTCGGTTGACTTTTTGGATAGGTATGCGTTTACCATGGATGGTATGGAGCATGCAAACTGAATAAAATTTTAAAGTTGTTTCATTCATCAGTTCATTAAACTGATAACAGACCAGTATACTTAGTGGTGTATATTCAATGTAGCTTGTGTATTAGCTAAAATAAGTTTCTGCATGTTCTAAATGTTCTAAAGATATTCTGCATTTACTAAATATGTGTGTGAACCAAGCCGTTGAAGGTTGAGCAGTTCTAAAATTGTTATCTAACTTTGATTCAAATCCCTTGCCCTGATGAGGCATCTCTAGTGACATAGTCGTGTGCAATCTTCCATGTGTGCTGTCTAACTCAGTGCATGGAATAGATGTACTTCTTTAGTGAGTACAAATCTAGTACTTCCTTCCCGCCGCTTTGCTTCTTAATGTGCCTTGCAGTTTGTTTAATGAAGTCCAGCTATAAAGACAACTTTGTTGTCTTTCATTGAATTTTTACAGATTGTTTTCTCTGTCTAAGTGAATTCAGACAAATAATCTGTGGTCAGAGCATTTGCCTGCTCAGAAGATGGGGGCTTCATTTATATATGAAGTACGGAAAGATTAAGGTCAAAGAAACTTGTGCAGCTTTGGGTGTAGATTTAAGATGCTTTGAATTTTATGGGACTTTGTTTTCTACAGTACAAAATATGTGTAGTAACTTAGATAACACACTGCTCAGTTGTGGCCGGGAACCTACCTTGTACGGGCTAAGTTTTTGGAAGAATGAGCTGAAAATCTCTAGCATGTCTTTCTGTGAATTGTGGTATTTTTTAGAGGCTTTTCATTTAGCCAGATTGAGGTGATCTTCAGAGTTGCCAAAACCTGTTTTTCTTAACTTTGATCCAAGGTGTGTTGGACAAGACAATCTTCAGCGATGTCTTCCAACTTCAGTGATTCTGTCTTTCTGTACTAGAATGCTTTTAAGTTCCAATATTCCCTGCTTTATTTTTGACCTAACTGAAGCCTCTTCCCTTGAAAACATTAAGCTGTGGTTTCAAGAGAATCAATGAGGCAATTGGCTCCTCCTTCCTCTTCTGTCTTTGTCTGTTTTACCTTACATGGGCTCAGGTGTGTGCCCATAAGGCTCCATCGGCTGGTACAACTTTCTAACCCAGTGGAAATCCTGAAAAGTTTTCTTCTGGGTTGTTATGTGGAATCTACTCATAAAAGATCTATGACTACCAGAGCTGCTGCAAGAAAAGGAGGAGCTGCAGGAAGGAAATGGTTTGGGAACGGCCTCTTCCATTTGGCAGCTGCAAGTCCTGCAAAAACCAAACTAAGAGAGCACACCTGAAGTAAGCCTGTTGGCGATCCTTGTGTTCTTGCAGTTTTTCAGGAAGCAGCCTGATTTCAGCATTTGGAAAATCTTTGTGGAACATGCTGAATAGCCCTTACTAATTTGTCAACATATCCCAGGCTTTCCTGAATTCCTCAGTGCTTTCAGGTTCCCAGTACTCAGTATGCTTCTCAAGGCTACAGCATGCGCAGAACATGTCTCACAATCATACTCTGGCAATGAGAACGCTCTTGGTCCCGAACATCTTGCTACTGTGGAAGTACCCACTGCTGGATTTCTGTCACTAAAACATTCAACTTTGAGCTATGGGTTGCTGTTGGGCTTCAGCTGGAGAACAGAATTGTACAAATCAAGAGTTCGATTTTCTTTTAAAATTTGGATTTTTAATGATGTTGTAACGTGGGAAGTAGGTCATGCTGTCTGTAAATGGTTCCATTCAAAAGCTTAGTCCAGCGTATCAGTTCAGTAAAGGTTTAAAGATGGCAACTTGTTAGTCTTTAGAGTTTAATGTAATGAGCATGATTTCCCTCAGGTTTATCTAGCTTAATCATGACCTCTGGAATAATTTTCATTATTAAATCATTTGATCTTTTTTAACCCATATGTTTTTTCCAGGTTCAGGATTCTAAACAGTGCTTACTATATTAACCATAATAATTTTTGCCATCTGTCCTTCTCTGTTGAACTCTTTCCTTGGGAATCACAAATATCTTAGGTGTCCTTAGGCATTGAAGAACTAAAGAATAGATGAAGACTTAGCAGATTTGAGTGTCGATCATCATCTCGTAGGCCCGAAGGGAATGCATGTCTGAGCCTTACCTTCCCCACCGAGCTATGACCAACATCTGTTATAATCACCTGAACCAGAAAGTATTATTTGAAAAGAAAGTATTATTTAATCCTATCAGCATGAATAAATTGTAAGAAGATGATAAAGGCTTTAAAACAGTAAAAGCTTTCTTGGCCGTCTTGCACATGTGTAGCTTGAAATGTATAGTATAATGCACCTTTTTTCCACACAGTACTATCAAATTATCTGTTTCCTATCTGTCCCTGCTGAGCCTGTGCCTCTCTGCCACTGTGGGCAAGCTATGGAAGGGCAACTGTTAGCAGCACAGAAACCTATTATGTAAGGGTAAAGCTTATGAAGGAAGGATGAACAGCCAGCGGTAAGGAGGCACAGCTGATAGTGCCAACATATGTTTACATAAAGGACTGTCAGCAGTTGAGGCTTAATTTAAACACTAAGCTGTGTCGTTCTCATAAAATCTGATAGCTGCAAACCTTGCTGGAGATTTACATGCGGAGGGAATATTCTTCCAGAATGTATTAAAGAGTGTGTTCCCTTATTGATAGTGGAAAGTATATTATAAAACCCTACAAAGTATTTTTACAGATTCTATTTCACCTCATGCTCTTTTATTATTCTACCCTTTTTTTGGTTTGCAGTCTCAGCAACTCACAAAGAAACGAAGCAGTTCTTTACTCTTTATAATACACTGGATGATAAGAAAGTATATTTGGAAAAGGAGGTAAGAAAATATTACTGTTTTCTAAATATTCGATCTGTGGAGAAGGAGATAAAGAAGTTTTTTTTACTTGGCTTTCACCATATTCAGTGGTGTCAGAGCAGAGTTAACAGTCTTTGTAAGTAAAAATGAAACAATTGATTCATAAGAATATTTCTAATGTTGAGGGGGAAATGGTCTGTGTTGTAAAAGAAGTGCTATTAGTACAGCATGTTTAAACTACTCACTGTGTTCACAAAACATGAGTAACATTTGATTAGCAAATATCTCTGTCTTGGTATCACAGGACCAAATTACCCTCTTGTGCTCGTTTTGGTCAATATCTTTTATTATTATTAATGCTACAGTCAGTAACTTTGGAGGGCAAATTCCAGCTGCTGTCAGCAACATCAGAGTTAGTTCTCAGGGTCTGAATCTGCCTACTCTGAAGTCGCCGGTGATTTTACTTGATCAGGATCAGAAGAGTAGTTTTCATGAAAGCAACTTGTTCTTTTCCCTCCCCTCTCTCCCTACTATACAGAGTTCGGCTCTTTCTTGGGGATGACTTAATCGAGTGATTTCAATTTTCTTTTTTTTCAATGACAAGCATGTGACTTCAGTAAAGGTGGAGAAATAGGAGCAATCAAGACGTGATAAACATTATGACATTGCTTTTAAAATAGATAATGTTTTGATACTTCAGGCTTCTCTGATTATTCTAGTAAAATAAGAACAGATTAGTTTTGCATTACTTAGATACATTTGTTCAGTTTATGAGACAAGCAGTAATCAAATTTCTGACTATGTAAAGGCACTTTATCTCCTGTTTTTGAAGGTGATGGGCAACCATTTCCTTCCATTAGGCAGCTGATTATAATACATGTGCTAGACAGTTTTTAGTTTTTCAATTCAGAAAAGTCATTAATTTATGTAGGTTCTTTAGAGGGTGTGTGATCGTGACAGTTGCTTACCACAAAACACAACTGAAGGAATAGGTTTAAATACAGAAATATTCTTTAACAGTTAACCTATGCTGCAGGTACTGTACCTGTGGTAAAACTGCGAGGAGAGGAAGCTGGGGAGCAGGGGGAACCTTTGGCAAACAGCAGCCCTTCAGGATGGAGTAATGTTAGGCATGTACAAGAGCGTGTTAACTGTGGGGAAAAAACAGCTTCATCCCTTCCTGGTTCCCCTATTTAGTTCTACAGTAACTCAGTACAGTTTACTTGCTTTCGTTTTACTAACCTTAAAAAGCGCTCCATTTGAATCTGCTGGAAAGCTCACCAATGTTCTACTTCTGTGCAGAACTTACTCAGAGATATACTCAGAGATAGAATATCTTTTTCCTTTGGCAAACATACAAGACTGGGCTTCCTTACAGATTTTCTGGAGGCCAGGTTGATGAAAAAAAACCACAACCCAGAATACTGTTTTCACGCTACCATTCTAAAGTTTAACTTTCCCCAGTTTACCCTGATAGAAGTATTTTAAGGCATGACTGCAGCGTCAGGGTAGATCTGGCCCTTTCTGTTGCAGAAAAGTATTATATCGCTCTATGAATGTTGTCAGAATCCAAGTTGCATCACAATAAATTTAAAAGTGACTTCTGTGACTAGGAGATTTAACAACACATGTAAATAATATACGTAAAAAATCTCAAGTTCTGTGCTGAATTGAGCCTTAGGGCTTTTTTATTGATGTGTGTGTGTGTATATATATATATATATATTTTGAGTTAGGTCAGTGATCAGTACAAAGCAGGATCTTATCAAAGTTTAACCTGTGATGATGATTGTCATGTGCTCCAGAAATACCTAATTTCTGGGAGAGGTTTCAGTTTAGAATGAGATAATGCTGTTTCTAAAAATTATTCTACCTGATGGTCCCTAACATCCTCAAATAAATTATCTTGGATTTTGGTGTAACTTACCTTTTCATCTCCTGAAAATACCATTAAGAATTTTCCTTGAAAGTTTTTCAAACATCAACTTCTTACAAACCAACAGTGATGATACCATGTAACGTCAGTTACATATTGAATATTCAGGAACCCTAGCTGTAAAACTTGCATCCCTGTGCAAGAGTGGGTGGTATAATGGCTGCCAGTGGTCCTGGCAAATGCCTTACCTAAGTCTATGAGAAGATTATCACACGCTTTGATTTTCTGTGGCCTTTCATTGTTTTTATTTTCTTATTCTAAATGATGAAATGTATTCATAATAAATAATACAACAGGTTGCAGATAACAATATATCAGATTTAAAATACTACGTTAAATAGCCACTATAGAATTCATATTACTTGAACTTCTCCCCTAGATTAGAGTTCAATAGTTTTTTGGGTTTTGTTTTTTTTTTTTTTGAGGGCAAGCCTGCAAATTTAAAAAGCATACAGAGATTGTTTTTGAAGTGGGCACATAAAGAACAGCCGACAGAATACAGAGCAGATGTATTTCATTGTTGTATAAATTGGGAGTACTCTTGCCAATATAATTCAATGCCTTTTTGGGGGGTTTTGGTTGTGTGGGTTTGTTTTTTGGGGGGTTTTTTTGGTTTGTTTTAGTTCCAAGCTTCACTTACATGGATATAATTTCAAAAGGCAAATAAATTGATGAAGGGTTCCTTTTATCTTGATGTCAATCACAAGAGAGAGAGAGGTCTGAATGTCTTCTGATGCAGTCCTAACTTTGTTAAATGTATAAGTAATGTACAAAAGATGCCTTTGGCATCTGTGCCTCACAAAGATTTCTGGAATATACTTGTGCTTTTTCTAGCCCTTTTTTTTTCCTTTTTCCTCTTTTCTTCCCCCAAAACTAACCCTTTCATAAAATATGCTGAGCATAATTGCTTTAAAATAATAATAGCAGGAATTGTTATACAGTGGAATTTTTGCTATAAAGGTTATAGCTCTGACATGAAAGGTCTCTGTGAATATGGTTGATATTTTAATCATAATTTGTGAAATATTCATTTTTAAAATGCTCTCAAACTCATTTTTTCATAATGTCTTTGATTTTGGGGGTTTATACACTGATTTTACTGTCTAATGTAACACATCAGCACTCTTACTGTGCAATAGTTGTGCAGTACTACTTTTCATGACTTGAATGTTTTGTGGTATAAACTGTAATTACATTCTTAAACGCATGCTTATTGGAAATATCTTGAGGCAAGGATGTGGACTTGGCAAATATTGATGAGTCATGCAATAACTTCTTTCCTGTAAGTAACAGGAATTCTTAAGCATCTTAGCTGCTTTGGAGTCTGTTCAGAATTTGTTTGTTCGAATTTTTCAAAGTGAGGTCAGGAACAACTGCAGATTCTGTCATGCATGTGCTTATCGCTGTCTCATTCAGATGGAAGATTTTAGATTTAGGAGATCAGTTTAGCTTTACATAGCAGTGGGGCAAGTGATTCTGTTTGCAACGCTTAGGTTTGTTCAGTACAGAACACTTTCAAATATTCATCAAAAGGAGAAACTGCTTGGAAGGTTTAACCACATGAGACTTGCGAGAAGTATTCAAAACCAAGAGAGAGGATCACATTAATTGCTACTTGGTGAATTTTAGTGCTCTCAGCAACATGTAGAAAGCAAAAAAAATCAAAGATGGTAACATAGAAAATATTCAATATATAGTTTAATTAGTTGGCGGAGTTTATACTGAGAGCAACAAAATATTCCTGTGATGTTGTTATAATGATGTTGTTTCTGTCTTGATTCAGTGCAATATTAGTATCTCATAACAGAGGCCATGCATGTGATACGCCATACTGTACTTGTTAGAAATTTTTTAACAGCCTGTAAAATACATATAAGCAAAGCAAGTAATGATGCATGGCTGTTTAGAAACCAGTAAAACTCATCTGCACCATGAAAGCAGTGCTGAAATTCACCTTCGGTTCCTGCACTGCTTGGTGAGTCTTTACAGTATTGTGTGGAGATACTGGTTCCAGTCTCAGAAGCAAAAGTGGGGGTTTTTTTGGTTGGTTGGTTTTTTTGTTTTGGGTTTTTTTTTTTTGTTTTGTTTCAGGGTTTTTTTTTGCTGATGCAGTGCTTTGCTCAGGCTTGTGAGCTCAGTTGCAGCTTCTTGACCGAGCTATGCTGCTAACAGCTTCAAAGCTAGCATCTTCAGTACTGTTAATACAATCTGGGTTTCTTTTGTTTGGGCGGTGGGGAGTTACTGCTTGGGTTTTTTTGTTTTTGTTTGGTGGGGTTTTTTTTAAAAGATACTTCTTCATTTGCTATCCTGTCTGGCTTGTAAGCATAGTCAGGGATATGCCTAAGTGAAACTGTTTGCTCTGCTTTATCACTACAAGACTAATTATGCAAACCTAACATAGCCACAACATAGGCTCGTGCACTGTCACAGTTGAACACTGAATGAGTACCTGTAAGTTACTTGTATGTCAAGTTTCAGCACATGTTGAACAGATGTATACAGCATTTTACTTCATCGCTTTAGTTTGGAAAGTTGTTACGTCATACTGGAAAATTCTCAGAGGTATAATTGAGCATCAGTAAAATTAAAAATTGCAATTGTGGTCCAAGACTTGCTTCTGCTTTCTGTGGCTCCCCCACTGGGATAGATTTTACTAATACAGAGGGATTGTGGTTTCTCTTCCAAAAGAAACCTCATGGTGATTTTCATGTAGCTGACGGCTTGTCAGGGCAACATCTATGTAGTCAATTTTTTAACTTGAATTTCATTTTATTGTCCATGAAAACTCATACCAGAAAGGACAAATATATAATTTCTTCTTTCCCCCCCCCCTCCCATTTCACAGGTTAACTTACTGAATTCTATTCATGACAACTTTCATCAGTAAGTAATGGTCATTTTTCTTCTGATGGTTGAAATGAATAACACGGTTGATTGGAAAAACGGGAGCGGGCATGAATCATAGAGTCTAAAAAAATGTTACAATTTTTTATTAACTTAAACTATTTTATAAAATAATTTTATTAATTCTGTTTAAGCCAATGTTTGGGGAATCAAAGACTTGGAATTACCTTACTTTTATAGCCAACATATGTTTTTAATATCTGGCTTTTCAGTTGCAGTTGT